GAAAGAGCCGTCAATTGCTATACATTTTGCTGCTTAATTCTATGGACATCTTCCTAGATAGTAGGAAAACAAGTTTCTATTCTTGCTTCATTACATTAAGCATGACAATAACAAGTCAGGAAAAGAAGTGTGTATTCACCACACTACACAGAAGAGAAAAAAAAGACAAAGACGTTGTATAGTCATCAGTAGGTTTTCGGAAACAAAACAAATATTCAGTGAGAGTGACGGAAACTTCCCTGGTTAAAGGATTAGGCAGAAAGGTGATTATCCATTGAGACTACAGGCTAAGGGCTGAGCTGTAATGCCTTGTGTGGGCAATCCACGGGGTCAGCAACAGTAACAAGATGCATTATCCCCCCATTGTCCAAACCGGTCCCTCCTATATTTCTAGCTGCAGGGATTCCAGGAACAGCAAAAGTGCATTGTGACATCCCGATGAACAGTTAGAGCATGCTAGACAGAAAAATCCTCCTATTCTGAGGGTTAGAAATGCCTAAATACCTAGCGCTGGGGGGTTACGTTTAACTGTAGCTCACTAGGCTATGTAAAAGCTGAAAGAGGAGATCAAAAGGTTCCAATGGTAGAAAGGTGATATTAATGTATGTCCCTCTCATTTTGAACTCCTTGTGTATTGGTTGAGGCCCTGCAGATGGACTGGGGGTAGAACTCCTTGCCTCTTTACTCCTGAGGGACCTCCTCACGGCCCCTCACTTGCATCTCCTTTATGAGAAGAGAAGAGAGTATCCCCCTCCTACCATGCAGGGTACCCAGTGCTCTGAGGTAACGTAGGACCAGGCACAGCAGAAGTGGAATTCAGGAAACATGGCAGTGTATGCGGAGCTTAGCTGGGAACACCCTTCTTGGAGTTTCTGTAGTACCAGTGATGTCGAGGGGCCAGTGTGCCTGCCAGTGCTGTAGGGCTTCGGTGCTGAGAGTCTTTTGCACATGAGTTCTATCTCAGCGCCATTTGCCACACCAAAATAGGAGTACTGCAAATGGAGCTTGCACCGGGTGCCTGACGAGCCATAATTAAAGGTCTAAGAGTGTCTTGCATAAAGAACTGCTTACGTCTGAATTCATACTCTTTCCTAATACAGGGCTTGAACCCTCTGCAAGTCTTACAGCAGTCAGACTGCTGCTCTTCACACAAGCACCTCGGGCAGGTGTCATGACAATCACAATTGGGCATAAACTTCTTGCCGTCCATGCCAAACTTAAAGTCTTAGGCTTTCGGCATGCCCTGGTGCCATGGAGGGCCAATACGGTAGGCGAGGCTACCCACTCCGAACTGCTACGTTTTGCACTTCAATAGAAATATATTTTACGGCTGAAAAAGATTAATTTACACGCAGTTCATCGAAATGTTTTGCTCGATAGTGAGAGGCTTGTTAATTGCAAAAGACAGATGGTCAGAAGGAACTGAGGGAGGGCTCAGGGCAGTGGTGGTATATAACAGCAGCTAGTGGCACCATGGCAAGGAGCAGTTGGACGAAAACATTTCCAACCCTAGTGCGCATGGTTGCGTGTACTCCTGATTGGAACAGATGTGAACAAGCCCTCAAAGAGGAACACTTCTCCCTTTTTGAAATGAGGACAAGAAACATCCAACGATTTTCATTCATTTTCCCTGCATCCAAGAGATGGCTAAATTGGCACGGACGGCGAGGAGGACGGTGGGGCTCGCCACCCTGTATATGCACCCCCAGGGTCTAGCTGGGACGGTACTGGGAGTGGCCAGCTCCCAGAGCTGCACACATGACCTGTATTAACCACAAGACACAGTTTTTTCACAGCCTAGCCAGGTAAGAGGGAGCACGAGTATGTCCTAGTGATCTGGTAATCACCCATCCAGCTCCAAGAGCAGATGGAACCCCTTAGGCAGAGATTTCACTTTT